TCTTCTGGATCTGAACTTTAGAAATCAATCAACTCTAAAGAGAATTCTGAATATTAAATAATGTCTTTACTAAATAAGCACTTTATTCTAAATTGTCCTCTATGGTGTGATCTAACTTGCTATTTTTGCTTTCTTTCAAAATCTGTATAGGTATTAAAAGTATATTCAAATAAGGCAGAGGATAAGTTTGACCTTTACTGCTCTGGAATGGAAAATTCTCTTTAATATAACATATTTTTTTAAATAAATGTTTTTTTGATCTAGTGTGGAGACCAGTTTCTATCTTAAGAAATGACTTCCCATGGTAAAAATCACAGAACATTTCAGGGGTTATCAACCAGTGACACTGATCCCATTGAGTAAAACCAAGGATAATTATTGATGGTGCTCCTTTGCTGCCCTGCAGAAATACCACTACAGAGCAAACTTTCCACAGTATATTTTGTACTCCTGTATTTCAGTGCTTCTCCAATTCCTTATCTAGTTCCCTGCCTCCGTAAGGACATCTAATAACACTCTGACCTCCAAGGAACTTGATATAGTAACCTTCAAGTTTCCAACTCAATGATTATCCAGCACGTTAAGAAAAGTAACTATCAAAGTTAACCCAGATGTTCCCATAATAAAGATTCATGGTAGATACTGTATTTAATGCATTAAAAGCAGAATATGAAAATTCAAAAGGAATAACTCCAATATTAAAATATTGGGAAGTGCAAATGATCCACGGATAATTTCATGAGAAGTAGTCTTCTTATTTGAAGTCCCCAGATTTTTAGAACAAAAGAAGCATATTTTTAATTTGGATACATCCTAACAAAGTGACCAATAAAAAAGAAATACTTCATTGGAGAAGATTTTATGGTGTTACAAAAAAGGACTGCAATAGAATATAAATCACATGAAACCTAGTAGTAAAGACATATTCAAAGATTTTTCACAGACACTTGCCATTCACACTTACAGAACTCACTAAGCATAGGGGAGTATAAAATCTTGCAAGGTACTTTCTAGTTTTAGATTGTTTGCTGCCTTCATTGATTTGCTTCATAAGAACATGTACAAAAGGAAATGTATTAAGGTAATGATTACATTTGTTAGGCACTAATTAAGAATGTTCTTCGTTGCTGCAGTTAGAAGCTCTAACTCTCATTAATCATAATTAATAACATGGAATATAAAGGTAAAATAGTCTAAGAATGAAACTTAGAAAATAGAGTAATGGAAAAAATAGTTTAGTGTTGTTATAAAATAAGTGTTGAGAAAACTATGACTACAAACAAAATATTGCATGAAATATCCTAGTTTCATGTGTAAAAAGCCATAAAACAAATTCCAATGCATCTATGAAAAATCATATGCAGATAGGATTGAATTTTTGATAGTACTACTTTTCTAGTTTTCTATGCTTTAACTTTACCTGAATGCACATAAAAAAAACAAAAAAAATAGGTAAATCTTTTGTTAGTTGAGGCATAACCTCATGTACCCAAATTTAGTAAGAAATTTCAGCTACAGCTGGTAATTACAGAGTGAATGTAAATCAAATAATAGCCTTTTAGTCACTAGAATGATCATAGTAATTTGAAAGGTGAGCATAGCAAAAATGATGTCAACATAAAATTGTTGATATCAAAAACTGAAATCAACACTGGATCATTTCATCATTAATAGGAAATAAATCTATCTTGAAAGAGAATTTTCTGAGAGCAACTAGTAAGTGCTATCACACTTTCCTGAATCTATAAACCAAATAGAGATAGAAGAGTGACTGATATTAAGATCCTGAAAGTGACAGTTCCCTCATGAATATCACCAGATCATGTGACCTTTATGGTATTAAGACTTGAAGGAAAATTATCTTATCTTGCAATAATTCAGCAGTCAGCTTGATGACTGTGCTGCTCTGCAAAAGCACAGATATCTGTGTCAAGCGGATTTTCCGCCATTTTCTGCATGTTTAGAGAGTTACTTAAAAATAGAAAAAATAGAATTAATAGTGTTTTATATGTATAAGTACATACAGTCAGAGAAATACAATAAAAAATAAGTGGGAATGGGCTAAAATGTGGCCTGTGATTATTATTGGCAGGCCCAAATCACCATTAGATTTTACCCACATCTATCAAATACTTCCCAATGACAGTGACATCCTTTTAATCTTAGAAGACATGGATTCATAGAAAACCATTCCACTAGAGTGCATTTTTTTTGGATGTCCCAAACCACTAAACAAAAGTTATTCCATTCACCATAATTTTCCATCAATATACTACCTTTGCAAAAAAAGCAGATTTTGTCATCTTATGCAGTGTCCATGAGAAATATTGCAAAACAAGAGGCAATGCCAGTTCTGACTTCCACTCTAGGACTTTGGAATAGCTCTCAGGGTTGTATGGGAGTCAGTTTAGCCAAAAATATCAAAATTTTAAATATCATTGACCTAACAGAGCACCACTAGGAAATTATTTAATGCATAAATGTATTTAATAAGTAAGTTTATTTATTTTTCTAACAGATAAATATACTCACATTAGTGTTCAAAAGAACATATACATATGCATCTATACATATGTTTAAAAAATGCTCATTCTTGCAATATTACAATAATAAAAAATGGAAACAACCTAAATATTAATTAATGTCTCGTATATTCGTGTAATATAACACTATGCAACCTAGTAAAATGAATAAGGTAATTGCCCATAAGATTTGCCCATATATGTATGTGCATACATTGGAGCCGAGTAAGTAACATGATTCCATTTCTAATTCTTTTAATATATATAAACGTTCACATATAAAAATTAGGCAAATTCATATTTTAAAAGCCAACTACAGTTTGGATATTTTTCTATGCCCTAAAATGATGAACTTGAATCAGTGAAGTTGCTTAAACTACATTACAAAGTAGCAAGAATTTCCCCCCTCAAATTCTTAGAGATAGTGGGTTGGAGCACTGAGACCCTGAAGTAGATAAAAATGAACCCTGTAATGGAAGTTAGATCCTAGCCACCAGCCAAAAGTGACAATTGGAAAGCCATTCCTTCTGGCAAGAAGTGGCCAGTAATATTTAAATAGATCATTTCTAACAGGTGGGAGGCTAAGATAGCTTGAGGTGATCAACAGTAAAAACAGAGAAAGAGTTTGGAGTGACTCCAACAACGGAATAGGATTTCCCTATGCTACTTAGAAAAAAGGTGGAGGACATGAGTTACTCAGGTTACACATACAGCATTCATTAAAACCTAAGAAGTTCACATTTCTCCTGAGATATCTTATAATCAGTGTGGACATTTTATCTGGTAATGTCTCTTTCATTGATGTATTTTTGCTAAAATATTAGTATTTGAATGGTGCATCTTAACAACTGGTGACCTCTTAGAATCAAAGAGTAATGGCTCATATTTACAAAGGCAAATAAAATGTATAAAAGCACACACCACTGAGAAATGGAATAAAATAGGGGAATGTCATATGATGGGACACTTTTAATTTCTGTTGACTATACAATTGAATATTTGGTTAGAGGCTTTGTTGGTGTGTTTTTTACTGCAAATATCTTAATCTGTATAAACCATGTTGTTTTTTTTCTAACCCATAATTTTCTGGAGGAATGAGTTCATAGCATATATCTCCCATTCCTACTAGGATATAAGCTCCATGAGGGCAAGAATACTTACCCATTTTGTTTGGGGATGTAGCCTAATCACCTAGAAAAGGACTTGTTAGGTAATAAGTGATCAGGAATATATAAATGAGTGAATGAATGAACTTAATTGCTTTTTAAAATGAGTCGACATTTGCTCTTTATTTGTGTGGTTGCGTGGACATACAAGCCTCATGCTTTTCTCATCTTCCCTACCACCGGGGAAAAGAGCAAAAGAACAAAAAACTATGTCTACTAATGAATGTGGTTAAGATTTAGCTGACAGAACTAATTTCAGTTCCATAATTGCCCTTCATGTCTAATAGGCTATCTGTCTTATTCTGTTTATCATACTGTGTGTAACTATTGGTGCCTCTCCAGGTATCACTGACACATAGAAGTAACTACTTTCTACCTATCCAGTTCCCCAACTTTGAACTCTCTCTGCTTTACATCTAAATACATCAACAACATAGAATTTACCATGATTATCATATAACCCAGAAATTCCCCTCCTACCTAAGAAAATTGAAAACATATTTTCATACAAAAGTTTGTACATGAATATTCATAGCTATAATAGCTGAAGGGGAGAAAGAATTCAAATGTATATTAACTCATAAATGGATAAATAACAGTGATATATCTATATAAAAGGAACATTATTTGTGAATAAAGAGTAATGAAGTTTTGATACATCCTTCAATATAGATGAACCTTGAAAATCTTAGTTATGCTAGATGAGAGAAGCTAGTCACAAAGGACCATATTGTATGACTCCAGTTCAATGAAATACCATAAATAGGCATATCTACAGAGACAGAAAATAAATCAGAGGGAATTCAGAGGAAGGGAATGACTGCTAAAGGGCATGGGTTTTTGGGGGGAAGGGTGATGAAAATGTTCTAAAATTGACGGTAATGATGGTTGCATAACTTTGTGTATATATCAGAACCATGTAATTGTACATTTTAGTTAGGTGAATTATATGGTATGTAAACTATACCTCAATAAAGCTATTATTAAAACTAAGAATAGTAATAAAATTTAATGTGCTTACATACTTTTAGATACACTAAGGTACAAAATTCACCTTGATATTCTCAAAAACTTTGGAAAAAAAGATAAATTTTTGGTAACCAAATCAGCAAAATTTAAACTGATTGGGAAGTGTTCATCTCTGCCAGTTAATTAATATTTTAACAGAGCATTTAATTTTATTGGCTTTTCTCACTAGCTATTCAGATATTGCCTATTGCTAGCTAATAAATTTGTTTCTCCTCTCTTCTATAAACAGGATGGAGAAATGACATCTCTGAATTTATGCTTCTTTATTTCATCTTGCTTTTAGGCATTCCTGGGGTGCCCCATGTAGGGAAAGTCAATGCATGCATGACAAAAGAAGCTCCTCACTAAAGTTTGGAAGCCTGTTTATGCTGGAGGAAGAAATGAGAAATCAGTTGAGTAAAAGAGAATGTGAAAGCCAAGGTATTTACCATTTCATTGTTTTTATAGTTGGGTCTCCCACTTCCCAGAGTGCCCACCTAGACCTTATAATGCAATTTATCTTTTTAAATGGCTTTCTTTTTGCCATACCTCAAAAGACTTCTTGACCTATCTACTCCCAATTCCCAGATTATTCCAAATACTACTTCATAGCATAGCCACGTGTCCCATAAACTGCCGTTTTTTAGCCACAATCATCTTGACACATTCATAGCCAAAATGCTACTCCCATCCCCTCATATATTAACAAAAATGTTCTCAGCTTGTCAGGATTAACAAAATAGAAATGATGTGGGAAAAAGAGAGCATAGAGTTTAGTTACATTATTTTTTTCTTTTGATGGAAAAATGTAGCAAGTATGCATGTCCACTGAACAATTATATATTTCATTCTACAGCCTTAATACAACATAAAGTTATGTGGGAATTTTGTAGCTTTCCATCAATTACAAGATACCAGAGCACTAGTCAGTTGACTACATAGAACAATTATTGGTCGAACAAATCCAACAAATTTGTTCTTACATACCAAGAATATGCCTCCAATAATATATGTGTGTATATATATATAAATATATATATATTTCATCTAAAAAAAGATATATTTGAGGCCCTTCCATAACTTCATAAGATTCTAAAGAGATGAGAATAAATTAGTTTACATTTACTAGTTCATTTTTTAAAATAATACATTTCTAGTAAATTGAGTTTCCCACTAAACATTCCTAATTTCCCAATCCCCATGTAAAAAGATAATGCAGTAATCATAATATTCTAAATATTATACTGAACATTTAAAGGCTAATAATAAACGTTTCCTAATGATGTTATCAAAAAGATAAATTAATTCATAATTTAATTCATTAAATAACTGAAAAATGTTTTAGGTTCACTTATAAAAAGTGATCACAAGAGATAACTGAAACTTGAGTTATTGCTTCAGATTTCATACCAACATGAAGGCAATTTATCACATCCTAATTTACATACTGCCTTAAATAACTTACTGAATTTCATCATTTATATTGAACTCTTCCAACTCTGTGACATTTATCTGGTGAAATTAATAACTGAAATAAAAATTTACAAACAGAACTGTTGTGTGATAAATTATCTTTCCCAAGATTGTAACTTGCTTGCTTGTAACGTGACCTTGCCAATCTTCCATCAAGTGGTGAAGTCTGTTTTCTCTACTCTTGAAACTAGGTGGACACTGTGACTGCTTTGACCAAAAGAATGTGGCAAAAGTGACATTCTAAGAAGGCTGAACCCAGATCTCAAAAGTACTGGCAGCTTCCTTTTTCAGCCTCTTGGAGCACTTACACTTAGGACATTCCATTTCAGAACTCAGCTGCCATGCTGTGAGAAGACCAAGTCACATGGAGAGGCCATGTGTTGGCATTTCTATCAACAGCCTCTGCTGAGCACCCTACTGACAGGTAGCATAATTCTCCATCACGTGAATGACCCATCTGAACAACCAGCCCAATCAAGCCTTCAGAGACTCCAGGCCCAGCTTCTAACTGGCCGAAACCTAGGAGACAACAAATAAGAACCACCGGGATGATTCAGTCAACCTGTAGAACTGTAGAGATAATAATAAACTACTGTTTTAAGCCACTCAGTTTTTAGAGTGGTTTGTTACACAGCAATATATAACCAGAACATAATGAGACTGCCACTTAACTCATAACACACCCCTTTTCTGACCCTTCTTTCAGGTAAGGAGATAGGTGAAATCAATAAGGAAATTACAACATGGCCTAGACATTGGAGAAAAAAATATTTCATGTTTAATTTCATTGGTCTTAAAACTGGAACCTATAAAAAAGTAATTCTTAGAGGATAATTTTACAAACTATAGGTAAATTTTTGGATACATTTACTGAAGAATTGTGTTAAACATTAAATTTAATCTACCCTAAATGCACTTCACTTTCTCCAAACATATACTTTCTTTGGAAAGCTGATAATTGACTTACAATTCAAATTCTTTTTTTTTATTATTGAGTTACGTACAATAAAATGTACAAATCTTTTTTTATTAAGTTACATACAATAAAATGTACAAATCATAGCTATACATAGTTCAGTATATTTTGATGTGTATATACACTTATGTGACCATCACTAAGATCAAGATATCAAACATTTTCACTAATTTTTCCCTGTTCATTATTTCATTGATCCCCCATACTCTCTCCCCTGTGGCAACCACCAAGCTATTCTCTGTGTCTGAGTTTGTTTCTGTTTTGTTTGTTCATTTGTTTTGTTTTTTGGATTCCACATATAAGTGACATCATATGGTATTTATATTTTTCTGACTTATTTTACTTAGTATAATACTCTCTAGTTCCATCCAGGTTGATGCAAATGACAAGATTTCATTCTTTTATATGGCTGAGTAATATTCCATTGTGTATATGTAACACATCTTCTTTATCCATTCATCTGCTGATGGACATTTGGACTGCGTCCATATTTTGGCTATTGTAAATAATGCCGCAATAAACATAGCAGTGCATGTATCTTTCAAATTATCGATTTTGTCTTCTTTGGATAAACTCCCAGAAGTAGAATTGCTGGATCATGTGGTATTTTTTTTTTCTGAGAACCCTCCATACTACTTTCCATAGTGTCTGTACCAATTTTCAATCCCACCAGCAGTGTACAAGAGTTCCTTTTTCTCTACATCCTCACCAACACTTGTCATTTCTTATCTTGTTGATATTAGCCATTCTGGTGTTAGGTGATATCTCACTATGGTTTTGATTTGCATTTCCCTCATGATTAGTGATGTTAAGCATCTTTTCATGTGTCTGTTGTTCATCTGTATGTCTTTTTTGGAAAAATGTCTATTCAGGTTCTCTGCCCATTTTTTTAATTAGATTGTTTTTTTGGTATTGAGTTGTATGAGTCCTTCACGTATTTTAGATGCTAGCCCTTTATTGAATATATCATTTGCAAATACATTCTCCCATACAGTAGGTTGCCTTTTCATGTTGATGGTTTCCTTTGCTGTGCAGATGCTTTTTAGGTTCATGTATCAAATTTTTTTTTATTGTTTCAAATAACTTTCCAGATAATCTCTGAGTCTCAGGATGAACTGCCACCAGAGAAGGCATGTGGTTTCTGATCTTTCCTCATTGCTATGTGTCATTCACTAGAATGGAAAGGAGGAAAAGAAACATTGGTGCATTGGAGTCTCCTCTGTCTTATATTTATAGGTGCAATTAGAGGTAATATCCAGTGAACAGGAACTTCTGACCCCCTGGTGGCAGCAGCTCCCTTTGACAGTGTTGATCTCATAAATGATTACTTTTCTTCTAATAGTGGGCATTACAAAACTGGCAGGAATTCATGGCTCCCTCCTTTCATTCACTCTTAGCGCTGCACTGCAGTTCTCAGCTGGTAAGGAAACAAGGCAACATGTATGTTAGAAGATCATATCCAGTTCATATGCAACCAGGCTCTAGGTTTGTCCTTATAATTGGGGTGACACTGGGTTCTCAACATGCCAGCACCAAGATATCATCACGGAGCTCAATATCTGAGCTCAAGGCTCTTCCAAAAATACACAGTGCAGAGTGACATTAGTAGATGGCTCTGGACTGGAAAGATCCCATCACTGGTGTGGCAGCACACTGAAATGGCCATTCAGGCCAAAGGGGCAGCAGAGGACAAGCACACAGAGGGAACTGGATGTACTGGGCCAAACAGCCCAGCAGCCCCCTGCACCTAGGATCTGGGCTGCCTGGTGGGGAGGAGCGGGGTTGGAAATCAGTCAGGATGAGAACACGGCGGGCTACAGAATGTGCGCAAAGCCCAGGAACGGC